AGCTTAACAGTACAACAATATACTATAGGCTAGGCCTGAATCAACTTATAATAAACAAATATGCAGTACGCTCTCGGTATAGTTCATGACCAGGGAGTAAGGAATAGAAGGGAGATACAACTGACGCGGTTCGCCCTACCATATGATTATACATGCTTTGCAGACGGTACTCCATTTGTATAAGAAATATTCAGAATAGGTTATTGTATACGCGGTAATTGTACATCAGACAAATACTTCATATACAAATGGAGTACTCGTCTGCAAAGCATGTATAATCATATGGTAGGGCGAACCGCGTCAGTTATATCTCCCTTCTATTCCTTACTCCCTGTTCATGACCTATAAAATTAGTAAAGGATTAGCGTACATCATCACTCTATACACTATAATAACCTCGTTGGTTTGGTCTAATAAAGATTGTAACAAATGTAGTATTCTCTAATGAATAAAGGCGTTTTTTGCTTGCTTGTAACTTGTAAGTTCCATTCCATTTAATAATTCATAATTTTTAACCCAAATCAATTGACAAGTTAATGAGTTAGAAATGCATAAATTTATGCAAAATTATGTCTTTGCTTTTAATGAAACAAAAGACGACAATAACTTAATTTTTTAACGTTTTATATTGGATATATTTTGTGTCCTGTCCCTTTCACTGCATAAAATGTCCTTTCGTAGCACTGGAAAAAAACATAATTGACTACATCTAAAAATTTCCATTTACTTTTATTGACTATTTTTCGTACGAAAGAGATGCTATAACTTGTTCACAAATAGGTTCATTTCCACAAAAGATCCTTTTATCCAATAAATGATTAAATCACTTTTGAAATACAATTTAATATTATTAATTTGTGTTCACTTTTAGCACAAAACATTCAAAACTGTGTTAAATAATTGTGGTTTTCATGTTGATTGTTGAACGCTCAAGCAATCAAAATAATCAATGACGTAAAATACAGCTGTACAGAGCGTATACAATAGTCAGATAAATTTCTATTGCATCAGCTTTAAATAGATCGAGGGTCTTTGGATGAAACACGATAATCACAAAACAGCCATAGCCCCTCAATTTCCAAAATGTGGTCTGCATTTTTAAGGATTCAAGATGTAAAGAGATGTAAAGGCGCCGGATTAATTGTCATAAATTAGCTAGAGTATCCGGCATTGCCCAGGTTTATACTTTTATTAATAGTTACTCCCGCCGTTTATTGAAAAATGATTTTATGATTCTGACGCAGAAATCCTCCTCTCTGATATAAACATGACGTTTAGCCATTGTCACTTCTGGTGAACCCATTGGCTTCCCCCGAAACCTGATAAGCTAATTTGGTCCAGTAGTGGTTCTATTATATTTGTATATATATTTTTTATTGTTATTCAAAACCAATTAAACCAGAAGTCAGGAAACATTTCTTATGCATTGTTAAAAAGTATTTGCTTGATGGAAGGAAGGTAGAAAATGGGGGAACATTTAGTTATTTTCTGAACATTGATAAATAGAATAAAGTAAAATAATCGCGTCTTCTTTAAATAGCCACGTTACGAAGGGTTTTGTAATTTGTAACTGATATCCGTCATTACAGATTTGTCAGAATAGTCACAAAAAAGCATTACATTTTGGAAAAGGAATTGAGTTTTTGTCACAAACTCAAATTGTCTTATCCCTATTTCTTTTAAACCTGATGGTGTAAACCTTTGATATTTCAAGCGTAGACTTTTTGGTCTAACATGATTTAAAGTTTGAAATATAAAAAATCTACGACATCGGGGTGCACAGATATAGGAATTATAACTAAGAGTTTGTGGCAAAAATTCAGTTCCTTTCTAATTAAATAGGATACAAAGCAGACTTTTTTGACATAATTTACGTGGGCCCAGTTCGTTAAACTCGCCAAATCTTGCAACTGCAGCTGCAGTACACACAAACTATACATATATACATTGTATACAGTATTACAGGATTAGATTGTCATATTTTAGGACTAAGAACCCTTTTTCTTTCGGGGTATACAGGGTCTTGTTCTTAAACCACTCTAACAATATAGGAAATTTAATGAACAGTTTGAACCTAAGGCTATGGGTTTAAACATTTTGAAAATGAATCATATCAAGACTCATCTTCAAATTAGATCTATTTTCCTGATACTCCTCTGTACAATGGAGGGTAATCAAGTATGTTTACACCCCCTCAAGCTCAATCAACTCTTTAAATATCGAATAACCTCATCAATGCAAAAAAATAATGATCTTTTCTTAAATTTTACTGATATAATTAGAGGATTCCGAGGAAAAACAGATTCAGATTTCTCGTTTTTTATTAAAAAAAAATCTAATTTTTTGCTCTCTTCGGAAAGATTTAATACAACTTGTTATTAGATAAACCCTGTAGTATCATTGTCATGTGTCTCCGTCTGTATCATGTGACTAGTATACTGCACTACCAATGGTGGAAGTTCTGGTCAGGTGATACAGACGTATCAATTATATAATCAGTTATATCTGTTAAAAATTAAAAAAATTATTAAATTCAAACAATATTAAGAGCAAACCTAAGTTATTCAGGCTGTTCTGGGTAATCGCAGTTTTCAAATTGGTTGCGTATTTGTTGAATATGATCCGTTTGAAAGTTAGATTCTTATACCAATTCTCATATCTTCTATATATAAATTTGGCTTGTCTGTTTGTTTGTATCCAATAAACGTCAAAACGGCTGAACCGATCGGGCCCAAATTTTTTGTGGGACCTCACGTGACTACAGGGAAGGTTTATAATTGATAAAAATTAAAAAAATGTGTTTTAAAGGTTTTTAATTTTGAAAAAATTTAAATTCTTGAAAATACGCGAATTTTGTTTAATTCCGCAAAATTTTTTCTTCTTTGCTTTTGATCAACTCCTAAAATGCTTAGGTTTTAGCCTATACCCCCTTTTTCCCCATTAGCAGTCCCTTTAAATAAAACATAAAAAAGTAATAAAAACTAGAAATATATGTTTAAAAATGTATTTAGTTTAAATGCAGATGTGTAAAATACATGGCGCTAGATGGAGTAAATGCATCGTCAGTAAAAACGTTTCTGCAGAATGTTTAATGGTATCAACTTAAAATTCAGCTGAAGAAATAAATAAGAATTCAGTCAATGCGTTAGTAACAGTGTAAACAAGGTTGGCACAACTTTGGGATTTGAAAGGGTGGTTGGTAAATTCTAGATTTGAGAGGGTGGTTGGACAATTTTAGATTTAAGAGGGTGCATGGTTGGTCAATTCTAGATTTGAGAGGGTGGAATTGGTCAATTCTAGATTTGAGAGGGTGGAATTGGTCAATTCTAGATTTGAGAGGGTGGAATTGGTCAATTCTAGATTTGATAGGGCGGTTGGTCAATTCTGATGCAATTTGGTAAAATGATCAAGTTTATGTAATAGAGTTACGGGTTCTGTATTCAATAATCTGTTGTTATTTTTTTTTCAAGAAAAAACGTTTATGCTTCTTCAGATAGACCCTTAGCTGTTTCCTCAGCGTTTATCATTAAATCCCTTGGGGGTTAAATCAATCCCTAGGGAGTTTATTAAAAGAACGGATGTCTTACCCCAAACTCTTATTTTCAACTTCAATCTTTGAAATAATTAAGATCCTCGACATCAGGCAAAAAAATGCAATTGGTTGTATAAATGAAATTTTATCAAATTTGTTTTCAAATTGCAATAAATTAAATGTAAAGACGACAATTGAAATGAACTTGAATTTTGTTTCTATTTATCATTTACGCTTAATCCTTTTTTATAATATACATTCTTTATTTATCATTAGTTTTACTGAGTTCTAGAGGTAAAGATGTAAAGACAAAAAATTTAAATAAAGTATTAAACATAATTTTTATATTTTTAAATAAAAATAAGCTTTATGTAAATATAATGACGATCTTCCCTTTCAGAGGTAGTCGTGCCACGTGGATTTAACGGTTCTGTCAATTTTCCAGAAAGCTGTGACTTTCGATCACAATTTGACCCATTAAACATAATTTTTTAGCCTTTTGCCTTGGATACTTTTTTGTTGGCATATGCATTTTGAATGAAAAAGTTTAGAATAAACAAATCTGTTAGGTAAAGGATTGTTGAATTATAGACCAAAACACGTTTGATTTCAAATAGAAGGAACCAAATGCTGTTCACTATAATTAGTCCGGGGTGTGCAAATCAAAAATCAACATATTTTTTCAATAAATTCATACATATCTGTTTAAAAGAAGAAAATAACTTGAAATCATGAATTAATATAAAAAACGATGTAGTATTCTAAAATATAAAATTAAAAAATACGAACTAAACATCTAAAATAATTTTAACCCATGTATATAAAACTTTAAAGTTATGCTTTCAGAAAAACCTGGAATTTAGGCACCTAGATATCTTTATAACAAAGGTCGTTTTGATGCATAAAGACTTAAAATCTAACGTTTATAATTCAAAATGTGGGTTATACAATATACATAGGTCAAGTTTTGGAAAAATAAATTGCTACACAAATGAATAACGAGATTTAGTTGAACTATTTGGGTGGTTACGTTTTGAGAATTGATTTTTTTATTGTAAAATAACGACGATAAAAAATGTAAAGAAAATTCTGTAGTAAACTAATTAGATGTTTAGGAACATATTTCTTAATTGGAATTTTCTCATTAAATGAACGTTAGAATCAATTAATTCTTTATATTCACTATATTGAATTTTTTTCTTTATGAATTTGTTCGCAGATTTCTTAAAATTCATCAAATGTCGTCTTTTCAATAAAAATTATAGGAAATCTATAGAAAAAGTTTGTGGACAATAAGATAAGATATAACAAAAACCAATAACTGAATAAGATTACTTACTATTATTCACTAATTTAAAAAAATCGATTCTCAAAACGTAACAACCAGAATGATGATTTTAAAGGTTAGAGATTAAATCAATCAAGGCAGTGTCAGACAATGTAAAATTAGAGATTAAATCAATCAAAGCAGTCTTTAAGTAGTTTATTTGTTGATTAAGTTTATCAAAGCAGTTTTCTGAGAGTAATCTTGAAGATTAAATTAATACAGTATTCTTGGAGATTAAATCAATTTAGCAGTTTTGATACATTATACTTGGAGATTAAATTAATTAAGCAGTTTTCATGCAGTATACTATGAGATAAAATCAATCAAGCAGTTTTGATACTGTATAAATGGAGGTTAAATCAATTAAGCAGTTGTCATACAGCATATTTGGAGATTAAACCAATCAAGCAGTTTTTTTTCAGAGAGTGTACTTGAAGATTTAATCAGTCAAGCAGTTTTCAGACAGTAAACTTGGGGATTAAATCAATCAAAGCCGTCTTCAAGCAATCTACTTTGAGATTAAATCAAGCAATCAGTTTTCAGACAGTATACTTAGAGATTAATTCAATCAAGAAGTTTTCATGTAGTATACTTGGAGATTAGATTAACATTTTTTTATGCAGAATACTTGGAGATTAAATAAATCAAAGCAGGTGTCAAGCAGTATTCTTGGAGATTAAATCAATCAAGCAGTTGTTAGACAGTATTATTGAAGATTAAATCATTCAAGCAGTTTTCTGACAGTAAACTTGGAGATTAAATTAATCAAACAGTTTTCATGCAGTATACTTTGAGATTAAATCAACCAAAGCAGTCTTCAAAGATTAGGTCAATCTCTTTAAGAATAGAAAATTATAAATTAATACATAAAACATTTAACTCCCAAATGTAAAAGGAAAAAATGGAGGCGATATAAGATAGAAAGAACGTTACTCTTATCTCATCTAAACTTTCATCTTGTGTTGAGGGTCTGTCGTCAAGTGTAGATAGATTTAAATATTCTGCATGTTCCTGATATCCTTGACGATTTTACCGTCCACCACCACCAGGACGATGTTCCTGTCGTCCCCAAGGAAGACGAATTTGTGAACAAAATTTTGAATACTCTCGTGACCGAAGGGGGTGGTTTCTCTTTTCCCTGAATATAATGATAATATATGATTGGTTAATAAAAAATAAATTTTGAGGAAAAGTTTGAAGTTCTGAAGTTTGAGACTGATCACCTGGAAGAAAACAGACCTATAATAATCTGGTATTTATAGAAACAAAATATCTCAATTCAAAGTTTTCTGTAATTTACTTTTAATAAAACTTTTCTGTTTTGTGTTTTTAGTTTTCTCTGGTATCCAGTTTTTATTGTCTGATTTTTTTATCAGCAATATAAACATTTTTTTCTCGTAAATTTGACTTTTCTGTTTGCTTGTATATATCTAAAAAAGTCGAAATGGAAACCGATTCTGTCCAAATTATATGTAGTGCCTTAGCCTTAAAAAAGGGCCTTAAAAATTTCCGATATTTTTTAATTTCGGGAAGTCACCAATGAAAACACAAACTTTTGATTAATCTCCGTTTGTTTGTCTTATCCAATCATAACTCATAAACCCCTTGACCTATTATTGATTTTCTGAGGCTGGCTAAACCATCCTAACTCCCTATATCCTTCAAGTACAATAATTTGGATTGACCAGCTCCATCCAAATTGTCAGGAACAATCCCATAAACTTTTTGAACTTTAGACTGCTCATACCGGTTCGCGTAAAATACGCGGACAGGTGTGAGCGCGGACAAGTAGACGCACGGCGCGGAGGTGACTCCTTCACAGAAGAACGTAGAGGAGCGCACTCCCACCATACAAGGCAACGAGGTCTGTTGTGTGGGCTTGGATTGAAAATATTTTACTTCTATTTTAAACATTTTTATTTTATTTACAGATTAAAATGAGGTCTTGGGAATTCTTGTGAGCCTCATCCATTTTACAATTTGTGAATTTGGAAGAAACATGTGAATGTTCTTAGTTTGGTTTAAAGTTCTAAGCTAAATAGGTTTACTTGCAAAGAAAGTTTAGTTGCCTAATTTTAAAATAAAGTAGAAAGGCTTGCCGTAGATTCGCATTAAAAGCTAATACTATCAATAAAAGAGCTGGGAAGTGTTCTCTTAGCCCAGAATAAATATTGGTGAATGACCGACTGTATATTGAATATGAACGGTGTAATTAAGTCCTCCTTATTATCTCTTTAATGATGGTAACATTAGTCTAATGGTTTTCTTTTATTTGGTATTTATTAATGGAACTTAACCACTTGATTTCCCCTCAACGCTGATATTTTGCAATAAACTTAACTCACATCGACTTCCATTACCAGGATTTTAGGGTTCAGGGCACCGTGTGTCTTTTTCTTTGTAACAATTTAACTGTTTGCATTGACGAATTTACAAACAAACAAATTTCTATAAAACATTTTTACTTTCACCATTTAAAAATCTTCCTTGGATTCATGTTGGTTGCCACAAAAAATGGGTCTAATGGACACAAAGGAACCCCCAAAAAGACGACAAAATATTGACTTCTTGAATACTAAATCTAAAACAATTAATACATTCTATGTAAAATTTTTATGCGTATAAAAAATGCATCCCTCGTCACTTTAAAATACATGCAACTCTTCATAGTGTGAATCTGATCGATCCTAAAATTTACGCTTGATTTTTGTTTATTTCAGATAAAGTAAATATCTTTTAATTTATAAAAAAAATCAATGCATTTCAAGTTTCACTAAATAGCAAATGCATCAGGCTCTTAGATAATATGAAATTTTTAATGAGTTTCCAGAATTAATTAACATTTAATGTTGTTCTTTTGATTGGAAAACCGTCAGAATTCTGACATTTTAGATTATAGAATAGTACATTTGTAGAAAGTTACAAAATTATATTTGCACACTAAGTGTGCGAATAAATATTTAATGGATTTTTTAATCGAAACATTTTCATGTTTATTGTTCGATATTGTTGCAAATTATGTAGAAATCATTTTTATAATTTCTTATAATTCTCAGACCTTTCCAGTACAAATTACAATCCCCCTTTCCCTTTCAATACAAAGATTGTTCTCTTTCATGATATAAGTACAATACTTTAATCTTTTTAAAATAACAAACAAACAGCTGAATAATAAATATGGTACCTTGCATGTCCACCAGGAGAAAATCTGCTAGTTTTCCTGGTTCTAGAGATCCAAGGTTCTCCTCCATATCCAGGAGCTGGGCTCCACCTAGTGTAGCCAGGTATACGGAGTCAGCATAATCTAGTGGGATATATTCAGATCCTTCTCCTTCTCCTTCTCCTTCTCCTTCTCCTGCTCCTTCTCCTAAACCAAGTTCCTTGGATAACTTGATAGAGTTGCTGGCTAGCACAGATAGTCGCATACTGTTTATTATAGAGGAGCTGTACCCTCCAGAACAATCAGTTCCCAATCCAACCTAGATATATAGTTTATATTTACCCAGCCCAACCTAGATATATAGTTTATATTTACCCAACCCAACCTAGATATGCAGTACGGAAATACGCCAAATCAAACTCTCATAGATTATGAAATAAATCAGAACCTAATCCATAAGCTCCTAATTCTAAACACCACCTTGTCTTTAATTATACGAGCTCAAGCTTCATCATTGTTTTGTTTTGACATGAGACTTTATTGACAGAATTAATGGAAAAATATGGTAAAAATATCAAATTATATTTTGAATAATTAACAATTTCCTTGCTGTTTAGTACATATACAAAACGTAAAACGAAAAAGATTTTTTTAACTCTAAAAAATCATAAATTTAGGGAAATCTTTTTTGAGCCACACCTTTTTTTAACAAATGACTTGCAAAATTGTTTTCCTGATAAAAATATTAGTTAAATTAAAATATTTGATATTAAATATTTGCAAGATTCCAAGCAAGAAAACAGGCCTTAATTGCCACAGGAATTGAAACCTAGATAATGACACTAATAGGATGACAGCTGACAAGGCCTTGCAGTAGGTCCAAATCCGTCACACTTCATGCAAATTTATCAAGATGACATATCTCTAAGAAACCTATTAAAACAAAAACTTTAATCAAAACATATTTCCTACAAAACATACCGTCGCGAGACCTGATCAAATACAAAACATATCCACAATGAAAAATATCAAATAGGAAACATATGAAAAACATATCAACTACAAAACATATCCACAATGAAAAATATCAAATAGGAAACAAATGAAAAACATATCAACTACAAAACATATCAAACGACAAAATTTATTAAATGCAAAACCAAAAAAAATATCTTATCAACATTTTAAGAAAACCAAGTCATTTTCTATTTACAAATCAGAAATAGTATTTTTCTCGAATAATAGCCCATCTCAATTTAAAAAGGGTTTATCAACAGTGAAAGTAAATTAAAATTTGGTTTTGATATATTTTGATTTTGTTTGTTTCGTATTTTGACATTCTTTGTTTTTGTATTTTAAATAGTTTGTTTTTTGATAATATGCAGCGCTCCTAAATTTCTTGGTCATGAGAAACCTTATATTAAAAAAGAATAAAAAACAGGTTTGTGAAACCAGGGTTTACTGCTCAAGTTTGATGTTCTAAACTGTACACTAGGACAAAATTTAATGAAATTGAGCTGCGTCAAAGAACCACCATAACGCCGGTTCAAATCTTGAATTACCGATCCTATGAATGAAACTAACCTTAACTCCTTTATTCTTCATCCTTCGTACATCACAAACTCCAGACTTGAGACTGAAGTTAGAGTTAGGACAATGAGATACTCCAGAGTTATACTCCCTAATCAAAACTCTTCTTTGAAAACGACCAACTCTTTTTGAACTTTCAGAAAACGAATAACGATCGTTTTTTATTGTTTTCTTTCAGCTTTCGTAAAAATAACGAAAATTCTAATTTTGATCATAAGCAACAAGGTATGTTTCGTCATTCTTTATGTAAATAATTGTATTTGTAAATATTGAAGGGTGTATGTGTAGGTTTGAGTAAAGGGGTACTTAAAAAATGGTGGTCGACTATGAAAATCACCTTCCCAAATATACATAGATTAAGAAAAGTTAAATGGTAGAAAATCGTAAACCCCAGGCTTCATATTTGAATTAGTATAGTCATCTTTAATCTTGAATTTAATCCCTAGAAGTCTGATAAGTTATTGGATAAGGTAATGATTGATAATTATTGAAATTACGACATTGGTGTAAAGATTATTAATTCTACACTACAGATCGTTAAAGAAGGACGGTTGTCATCAAATGTACGGTCTTTATTATGAAGGGTCGTCGTTAACGATCGTTAACGAAGCGAAGAACTTTTTTAAAAGTTAGTTTTTAAAGTAATTTTCAGAATAAACTGGGAAACAAAGACGACACGAGAATTATATAAAGTTTGATTAATTGGATTGAAAGTAAATTTCCATTCAATGACTTTGTAGTAATTATCAAGAGCACACTAAACTACAGTCTGACCGCCTGCATATGATGGGGCGGGGCGGTACTTGCCGGACCGGTTCGAATTCAAATTGACCCTTGTCCACCGTGAATTTGGTTTTGGTTCCTTGGCTTTCATTTTTCAAATTAGCATTGTGAGAAATACAATTTTCCACACTCTTCATATTTTAAGCTGTATAACATATTTTAAGCAGTTTATCATATTTTGCAATTTAAAATTTTTGTGGTTTTAAAAAGAAATCACGCAATGATGGAGTAGACTGAGAAAAATATTTATCAAAACATGAAAAAATATCTAAAATAAAAGATTAACCCTTATCCCCGCTGGGGTACTTGAAAACCAGGATACGCTGGGGGGGGGGGTCAATTTGCCCCCCCCCCTCTAAATCCCATGTTTTATGTCCAAATATGACAAATGATACATCATTAGAAAGCTCTTGTGCTCTACTTTTAGAATCTGCAAAAAAATGTGCAAATTTGCGAAAATTGAATTTTTTATCGCAAAATCCAGTTTTATAGTAAAAATGTTTGCAAAAAAAATTTGTCCAAAAAATGACAAATTATACATTTTTGAAAAGCCCTTGACCATGCCATTTCAAATATGCAAAAATTTTTGCAAAATTTTAAATAACCTGATTTTTAATCAAGAAAAACTAAAAATGTGCAAATTTCCTTTGACAGGTTTTTTGCAAAAAATTTGCAATTTTTTTTCCGCAAAACTTATGCAATCCATTTCCTTATGTCATAGGCTTTCCAAAAAGCTAAATTTTATCAAAATCTGACAAGTGAAAGTGGGTCAAAACAAAGATTTAGTTTGCTACAGGCAAAAGCAGTCATTCAGGCAGTGTGCCTGAGGACTCAGGCAGTTAGTATTAAAGCCCGGTTTTAGGCCTAAAGGGAGGGCTTTGGGTATGTAAGAAAAGTCAGAAAATTTCAACAGCCTCAGACCAATACTTTTTGAGTTATGTAGAAAAAACTACAGGGGGGGGTCAAATTGACCCCCCCCCCAGCGGGAATAGGGTTAATCAATTGCTATTCCGTCTTCGCAAGTTGGCATTGAATTGAATTGTATTGGATTATAGGTTTTAGTTTTCAGGTTGACTTTTCATCTCTTTTTCTTCAATTTTTATCAAAGATATTTGCAAGTTGTATTTATATTTACTTTGCTTGGGGTGGGGGGGGATTACATTTTTGTTTGAAATATATGTAGAAAGGAAGTGAGATTTGAAATGTTTTAATTCCTATATATCTAAAACCTGATGGTGTAATTCTTTGATATTTCAAAGTTAGACCATGTAATCTAGCATGGAATTCATAGCCTTGAATCTGAAAGGTCTACGAAATAGGGTTGCACAGGCATTAGACAATTTGAGTTTGTGGCAAAGACTCAACTCCTTAATCAACAATCATCAAGAACTGACATAGTCCAACCCTATTGTTTGGTAACAGACAACTTAAAAAGTAAAAACTCTTAGACTCGACTTACGGAGTGAGGCTCAGTGAAAATAAAACCAACCTACAGAAGATGTCAAAATAGGAATTTTTGTGTTGTAAATAATATTCTGGGGAAATATATACCCTGTTTCTCTGTTTCTAGATTGCAGGGATATTTAAAGAATTCCGTCAATTTGGGGCCCGTAGCTTCCCTGGAAATCCCTGTCTTGGGATTCCCGAAACTAGGGTTCAAGCACAAGATGTTCAGGGAAGGAGGCTGGAGGAGTTAGTCGAGTACGAACTGGCTTGAGTGGAGGTGGAGCTGATCGTTATGACCAAGATGTGCAGCTCGTTTGATTTCCATTTCTTTCCTTTTATTCAATAAAGTGAATAAGCTAGCAAAATGAAATTTAGAAAATACTGGTTTTAATTTAACTATTACATGTACCTGATAGTTTCTAGTTCCTGATCTGAAAGATGAACAGCGTGAGCTAGAATTGTTTTACGAGTTAGAAGTCCACATTTCTCATAAACCTGAACAATACGATTATTATATATTAAGAGCGGGGGGGGGGGTACGGGGTTGGAGTGCTATGAAGGGCTGAATACAATTTTTAGATGTTTTTTGTTTGCTAAATTATCATTGATTGATGATCATTTTTCAATATATTTTAAATTCTGTTAGATCAAATGATTTAAGTTTGAAATATCAACGGTTTACACCATGAGGTTGCAAAGATATAAGGATTATCAAATTTTAGTTGTGGCAAAGATATAATTCCTTTATACAAAATTGCTGAAATCTGCAGTGAAATTATTGAAGCTTTCAGTGTTTTTTTCTTTCTTTTTTTATATACTGTTTTATTTTGTATTAAATAACAGGAATTGGAACCAATGACATCATGAATAACTTCTTCAAATCTCACGTTGACCTTTTGTACTTAATAATCTATTTAAACCAGTCCTTAGTAACAAGTTAACAGAATCAGATTTCTCTATGCATGATATATTTCAAGAATTAAAGAATCCGATTTCTCGTTATAAAGTTTAATAGGAGAGACGAGAAAGTGTTCATCTTTTATTTATGATAATCCTGCAGCAATGAGCTGACAGCTATTAAAGTATTTATGATAATACTGCAGCAATGAGCTGACAGCTATTAAAGTGTTTATGATAATACTGCAGCAATGAGCTGACAGCTATTAAAGTGTTTATGATAATCCTGCAGCAATGAGCTGATAGCTATTAAAGTGTTTATGCTAATCCTGCAGCAATGAGCTGGCAGCTATTAAAGTGTTTATGATAATCCTGCAGCAATGAGCTGACGGCTATTAAAGTGTTTAAAGAACACCAAATTGTCCGTGTCCGTTCTATAACCGTATTAAAGTAAGTGGTATGTTAATCTCATACAGTGTGTCCCAATAAACATGGGAATTATGTGACGACTTCTATATCTTCTTTGTTCCGTGTGGCAATATTACGTGAATACAATTTCTGTATTAACACAATTAAAAAAGTTAAAATCAAAACAACTGGTCTTCAAATTTCCAAAATGTGGTTTACCTGCAACATTGACAGAGATATTAAGAAATCTGACCAGATTCTAAATTATTAAATAACAACGAAATCTTCTAAATATTTCATATTTCCGTCAAATTTGAAGATACCAAAAAAGCAGACCGAATTTTCGAAAGCCTTTAAGTTGAATGTTCTTTGTTTTAAATATATTCTTGATCATTTTTCTACTATCGGAAATCACAGACGAATTTCAAGTCGTTTATTAATTTCCATGTTTATTGGGACACACTGTGAGTTATTATATTTCGTTATAAAATGAAGAGAACATGTTTACTATCCACGATTCAAATATCTGCATATATATATATGCATATATTTGCAGATATATCTAAAATATTTGTATATTGTAGATATACATAAAGATGATAAAGATTCTTATTTAAGAGCTGCAGATATAGTCTAAAATCATCGTATTTACCGAGAAATTTAATATTCTATTAGATTACAAAAATATTTTTAAAAAAAATTTAACTAAAAGATCGCAAACAAATCCATTTCCTGACAGATTGTTCAAAATATCAGGAAAAGTATCCATGAAGGTTCTATCAAGGAATTGATTAAAATTTGATTTTTTTTCCAGATTTCACTTGGTTCAAGCATGCAATAGAGCTGTATGTAGTAATAAGGAAAATAGAGATATATCTAGGTTCAAGGATAGAGATATATCTAGGTTCAAGAATAGAGATATATCATGGTTCAAGGATAGAGATATATCTAGGTTCAAGGATAGAAATATATCTAGGTTCAAGGATAGAGATATATCTAGGTTCAAGGATAGAAATATATCTAGGTTCAAGGATAGAGCTATATCTAGGTTCAAGGATAGAGATATATCCAGGTTCAAGGAAAGAGATATATCTAGGTTCAAGGATAGAGATATATCCAGGTTCAAGGATAGATATATATCTAGGTTCAAGGATAGAGATATATCTAGGTTCAAGGATAGAGATATATCCAGGTTCATGGATAGATATATCTAGGTTCAAGGATAGAGATATAACCAGGTTCAAGGAAAGAGATATATCCAGGTTCAAGGATAGAGATATATCTAGGTTCAAAGACCTAAGATATAACCAGCTAAGCCTAATTATTGGTTATGAAAGGAAAGGATCTGTATTCTGTAAACTGTATGCAGAATATCAATCAGCTGTTTTCTATGACAAAGAGAACACATACACATGTTTTCTACAAGGTTCAATAGAAATATATTACATTGTTCTTTTCCTTGTGTATTTTATAAGATTATACCTGTGCATATGTTTGACAATCAGATTCTAATTCACGAACCCATTCAACTTCTTTTTTATTCTCGGATAGATGGGTCTGGATATGCAGGTTCTTTTCCTTAGCTATACGCCCCAACTCTAAATAAATAGAGGGTTCAAAATTCATTTAAAAGGAATTGAGTCTTTGCCACAAACTCTGATTTTATAATCCCTATATCTTTGGAGTCCAATGTCGTAAAACTTTGATATTTCAAACTTATATTATTTGATCTAACAGAATTCATAGTTTCAAATATCTAAGGTCTACGACATTGGAATCCAAAGATATAAGATTTAGAAAAGCAGAGTTTGTGGCAAAGACTCAATTCCTTTGAGATTTAAACCTGAAATGGTGAGGTCAATCTATACATGTACTTTGCTTGTCTGTCAGTCTGTATTTTTAACCGATTGGGCACAAATTTTGTGTGGGACGTCACATGACTCCATGGATGATTAAAATTTCAAAACTTAAGCATCCAACAAAATTTTATTTTCATTAAATTTTAAAAATCTACGAAATCTTTTTTAAAAAATCCGCGAACTTTTTTTTATTGTTTTACAATGAATACAAAGAGAAAATGTTCACAATTGAAATAGAAGATGGGCACGAAGCCTAGTAGAATAGAATAGAATAGAATAGAATAGAATAGAATAGAATAGAATAGAATAGAATAGAATAGAATAGAATAAAATAGAATATAGATACATCTCTGTATATAAAGTCGTAGTTTCTGTTGTGATGTTTGTTTGTTTGTATGTCCGATCATAACTCATGAACCCTTGAACAGATTTGCCTAATATTTTGATTGGGGAACTGGGTAGAATGTTTTCAGTTAAGTGAGTTTCTAAGCTTGTTAAATTTAGAAAGAGAATGTTCGTCAACAATTTCGAATCTGGTAAAAAGACGATAGGTATTATATTTTTTCCTATATTTTTCAGAAAAACATTCTTTGCAGTTTCGGTTTAAATCCAAGTTTTTTAACCTGTAAAAAAGAAACATTCCGGCCGGTAACAAACAACAAATTTTGTCTGCATTACAACATTTTTTTCTTCACTTCTTTCAATTTTTTTCTAAGTTTTTTTTTTAATTTGAATGAATCCTTTTTTCTCGGATACCCTGTCGTATTTCTTACTCCCCCGCTAACCAACCCAAAATGCGTGTATGCTTGTATATTTGAATAGTGTTGTATTAACTTATTGTTGGAACTAAACACTTTTTCAGCTTTGAATTAAAATCTCAATATTTGAATAAAGATGAATCGTTATGTCACATTTTCTTTTATATTTGCTTTGATCATAAATATTCTTAAAGAATGGTTATTGTATGTCAAGCTCAACAGTCCTCCAAATTGTGTACATTATTGCGCTACACCCATGTTTTCAGCTGAAATCAGAATAAGAATAATATGAAAAGCAAATTTATAAAACGAATAAGATTTCATATATCTAACGGGAGCACGATCATTTGCAATCAATTCACTTGCAATCAAAATCAGTTGATATCAGCCTCACTTGCTATCCAAACATTTGCTATCAAACACATCAACTCAGTTGCGATCACATTCATTTGCTATCCGGCCTTAACAGCTATCGACACTTTTGCTATCAAGCTTCACTTGCTATCAGGCCAATTTGCTATCAATCCTCATGTTGTAATCAACAATTTTGCTATCAATCATCATTTGCTGTCAAATTTTCGACTTCCTCTCAATCCTTATTTTTACCATTTTTTTTCTCTCCTAAAAATCTGCAAATTTCTCAACATTTGGAAATCTTCATTCGCTGGCAATGATAAGGTATCAACCTTAGCTTTCTAGTAAAGGAATCCAACGAACAGGTTTTGATAGCAACTTATTTAGAAAGCAACACGTTTTGATAGCAACTAAGGACTATTTTTGATAGCTACTTATTGAGAAAAAACAAGTTTTTGATAGCAAATAAGTACTGGTTTTGATAGCAACTTATTGATCAAGAAACAAGTTTATGATAGCAACTAAGAACTGGTTTTGACAGCAACTTGTTTAGGAAACAACTAATTTTGATAGCAACGTATTTTGATAGTTTTGGATAGCAGATGCGCATTGATAGCAGTTGAGGCTGGAGAGCAAACGTTTTGATAGCAAGTGAGGCCTGATAGCAAATTGACCTGATAAAAAGTGAGGCTGGATAGCAAGTGTGGCGAGAGCAAGTGAGGCTGGATAGCAAGTGTGGCGAGAGCAAGTGAGGCCTGAGTGCAAGTGAGGCCAAGAGCGAGTGAAACAGATAGCAAGTGAATTGATAGCAAATGAGGGGATAGCAAGTCAGGCTGATAGCAAATGAGGCTGATTGCAAGTGAGTAGATAGCAAGTGAGTTGATAGCAAATGATCATGCTCCGTCTAATGAACATCCTAAAAATGTGGTTAAGGTTGGTTTGGCTTTCCAAAATATGTTCTACTTTTCTTGTAGTTGTATCTTCAAATTAGACGGAAATATTTGGTTTTTAGTCACCTACCCCGCTTTTCTAACCCAAAGTCGTAGACCTAAGATATTCTAAGATAACATTTTTAAAATATCTAAGGTTCACACCATTAGGTTGAAAAGGTATAAGGATTTGAGAACTTGAGATTCTAGAAAAGATGCAATATATTTGGGAAACACAGGACTAGGAGTTCTCTAAATTTTTCTTAAATAACTGTATTCTGAGCTGAAACTTTTAAATTAGATATCCTTAATACTGATCGCTTAATCTTAATATCCATGCTGTTAACACTTTTCATTTCTGCTTAATCCGCTCCTTATCTCTCTTTGTGGGAATTTTACTAGATTCCGCCCAATCAGAGTTCTCTCAATAAACGGCGCGAAAAATTTCAAATTTCCCGGCTTCTGTTCGCTTTCCACAATCGACACTTGATTTTAGATACTTTCCCGGATACAAACTAAAGATTAAAATAATCTTAAGATTAAAGAAAAGATGAGATCAAGGATTTATCTTGATATCCACAATTCTAATTTCTAATTTTAGCTCAGGTAATATTTCCTGCAGACGATTTAATTTAGAATTCCCATTTTTATTGGGACACCCTGTATTTTGAGTACTCTACCTGACATTAGAAGTCTGGAACAGGATGGAACAAACCTAGGCGTAATAATAGGATTTACCAGAGAACCTCCCAACTCAGATATCTATAAATATAAAATAGTAAATATGAAAAAGTAAAATTGGGGTTTTTAAGTTTATCTATAGAAGAAATCATTATCAATTGACAATACGACGGAAAACCCCCCAACAGATTAAATCTCAAAGTAAGGTTTTATTTCACATTTCAATAACAGTTGTGTATCTACTTAATTGAGTTACAAACATAATACTGAAGAGCATATCAACTATCTTCCAACAGGAATAATTGTTGAATATGGGAAAATTTTACGTTAAACTTTAAAAAAAAATCTCCCAATAAAATGCATAATCTACAATCTATAACAATCTACATTTCAAAGAAAACCATTTAACAGTAAATAGAAATCAACCAGACACAGGAAATATTTTTCATTTAACATTCTTACGGAAACTCTGAAAACAAAAATAATATTGCCAATGTAAAAATATTTACAATATCCCTTGACCTGGGTTATATATTCCTTGACCTAGGTTATATATTCCTTGACCTAGGTTATATATTCCTTGACCTAGGTTATATATTCCTTGACCTAGGTTATATATTCCTTGACCTAGGCTATATATTCCTTGATTTCGGTTGTATATTCCTTAGGTTACATATTCCTTGACCTAAAGATGAATATTCCTTGATCTCGGTTGTATTTTCCTTAACCTAGAATATATATTCCTTGACTTAGGTTAAATATTCCTTGACCTAAGATGAACATTCCTTGAACTCGGTTTAATATTCGTTTCGCTCCGTATTATTTTCATTACGTTTATTAATATATTTTTTTTTCTGTGAAATCTGCATAAATAATTAATATTTTTTCCGACATTTAATATGTAATGCACGAAACCAGGGCAGATTATATAGTTTTATAACAAGGAAAACTCTAAACCAGAGCAGATTATATAGATTTATAACAAGGTAAACTCTAAACCATGGCAGATCATATAGTTTTATAACAAGGAAAACACTAAACCAGGGCAGATTATATAGTTTTATAACAAGGAAAACGCTAAACCAGAGCAGCTTATTTAGTTTTATAACCAGGAAAACGCCAAACCAGCTCATTTAGTTTTATAACATGGAAAACGCTAAACCAGGGCAGATTATTTAGTTTATAACAAGGAAAACACTAAACCAGAGCAGCTTATTTAGTTTTATAACAAGAAAAACTCTAAACCAGAGCAGCTTATTTAGTTTATAACAAGAAGAACGCTAAACCAGAGCAGATTATTTAGTTTATAACAAGGAAAACGCTAAACCAGAGCAGATTATTTAGTTTATAACAAGGAAAACTCTAAACCAGAGCGATTATTTAGTTTATAACAAGGAAAACGCTAAACCAGAGCAGATTATTTAGTTTATAACAAGGAAAACGCCAAACCAGGGCAGAAAATACTAAAAAAATAATAAAATCTTTATTTTCTTTGGAGAATGAAAGAAGAAAAATATAACCGCAGGGAACAGTTTAAAGGAAGTCACTTGTACGTGTACATAGAAAAACCAAAATCTTAATCAGATAAAACGTTGAGTGGTACTGTTGAGTATCAGACATGCCACATGATAAATTAAGGGTCAATTAAAATTAAGCCAACAGTACTTTTAGTTGAATAAAGAGAAGAGTAAAAAAGAAACAAAATGATAATTATCTAAAACGTTGACAATTTAAGCAGGGGCGGATACACCAATCCTCAGATATATACTTTGTTTGTATGTCTGCCTGCTTGTCTGTACTCATTAACGTCAAAACGGCTAAACCGATTGGAACCAAATTGTTCTGGCAACTTTATTAAACTTGACAAAATTTACCTGGAAAAATGTCGTCATTTAATATTTAAAAATGCACAAATTATTAGCAAAATCCACGAAAATCTTTACTTTCTGGATCGAGAACGGTGAAGAAATGGAGTTTAGTTTTCTAGCGACCATGTTTAAACAATTTGCTTTTAAAAACAATATCCAATAAATATACATAGAGTTGTTAAACAGTCCTCTTTCTTTTCCATAGTTTTTGTCCCATTTTATAAAACTTGAATTTTTAAAGAATTTTCCAGGGGGAACAGTGTTTACCCGGAAGTTTCAGAAGGAAGTTACAATGCCCTGAGTTCGCTCATAAAATAAAAAAATATGGTTGATATTTTTGCATTGTACCAACTAGCCACTAGAGTGAGTAGGATATGCAGTGAGCCCTGTAAACTTTAAATTAGATGAAGTGTGTGCTAGGACTGCTAGGACTAGAAGTTAGAAGTATACAAGATGAATAGTTAGTTTCTACACTGCAGAGTTATCCTGCCTTTAACATACAATATAGATAGAACTAGAATACATAACTCACTTTTGCATTCAAATCTTGGTGTCCCTTCCCTGACTTTTAAATAAATTAACATCTGAACAACATTCTACAGGGTGTCCCAAAAAACATGGGAATTCAGTGACGAATTCGATATCGTCTTTGTTATGAATTAGCATTGTAATACCTAATTTCAAAACCCATAATATTATTATGTCTGCAAGAGTTTATTTTATGAAAAGGTAAATACTGTAAATATCAAAGAGCTTTGTAATATAAAGAGAAGGCATTGGGATTTATACGCAAAACCAGACGCCGCAATTGGGTTCAATCAGAAGCCATAAAATGTCGTCTTTTCTGTAATTTAAAAAGATTTAAAGACTTTTTAGGCATTTCCATCACCAAAACTTACGTTTTTTACGCAGTTGGCCATTAGAAAAGCATAACTTTATTATCTTTTAAGATAAACTTTATCCTAAACCAGATTGCAATGTAATTGGTAACAAAAAATGTGGCTACTTAAAACCAAGTTTTTTTCGGGCCTCGCTCACGTGTTACTGGCCTAAAATTCTGCTTTGGACTTTTACAAAACTATTCTTAATGACAGCTAATAAATTTTGTTTTAAAATATGTGGTATTTTTCAAATAAATAAGATGCGTAACAAAATCACAATATTAGCTTTATTTTAGCAGGAGAGCATCCTATCCTATAACTGATTAAAACAAATCTAGAAGATTATGACCTTGTCGTTAATTTTCCCATCATTTTTAGCAACCTACAATGAATAATTTATTTGATAACTAGAGTTCTAATGTTGATTGTTTGAATTTAAAGCCAATACTGCAGCCAGTGACGTCATATAAAAGTGTACAGAGCTGAAAACTTTAGAATGGTGGATATCGGGATTAATGCTTGATCCTCTCTTTTTGATAATCTCAAGATTAACATAATCTTGCAAGATTATCTTAAAAGTGAATGAAAAACGATAAATTCAAATTAATATTTAATCATCTGAGAAACTGTAGCAGCCAATCAGAGAAAAGCGGGCAACCAATGAGAGAACAGAAATATTCTCATTGGAGAAAACAATTAACGGATATCCAAGGAGAGAGAGTAAGAGTGGATTAGGACGAAAATGAAAAGTTTCCACAGTGGATATTCGGATCAAGAAGTCAGGATTAAAGTTTATCCATTCTAAAGTTCCCAGCTCAGAGCGTACACACTATTCGGATAAATTCCTAATGCCCTATCTTCTACTATTCTACCGTCCTTGGTAAATATGTGCCTATAATGTCTCCGCAAGATGAACAGTGAAGACCAACAAGTTCACTCTGTTTGTATTCTGCAACTTTCTTGTTTTACCAAGTACAACCGTACGCAGTGAAAACATAAAGAAACAAAATGTGAACATAGCAGACGAAACTCGTACAGATTACAGCTTTCTCAATTCTCAGTAGGTATTGCTATACCAAATCAAAGAATTATTTAAAAAGACGATATCGATTTCGTTACTGAATTCCCATGTTTATTGGTACACCCTGTATTTCTATTTAAACCGTGGAATAGAAAAACGTCATTTAAGCAATCTAATTTGTATATTTTAAAATTGCTGAAAAATCAAACAATTTAGTTAAATGGATTTTTATGCAAAGCAAGCTGTATAATGTGTGTGTTTTATGCGCATTGCACTATTTGAAACCATAACTCGAGTCTAAAGTCGTCTTCCGAATCCACAGTTTTATAATTCTCACTGTGTATATCAGGTAATTATGAAAACAAAACAAAAAGGTATACCATATTTTGGAAATGCCAGGACTGCGTGTATTTAATGATTATTTTAAAAGAATTATCCTGCATTTGATCAAGGGGAAATCATAGTTTGAAATACCAATGCTACTATAGTTTCAGTGGAAGTAAATATTTCCATTTACAAATAGCGCTGATTAAAGGATTCATAACTCTGATTGGATAATGAGATAGATAGAAATATAGATGTTACAGCCATACTTTTTCAATTGGTTCAGAATAAACAACAAACCATGACTGAACCCTGATTGGATCAGGTGTTAATGGGTTCGGCATACATGAGTTATGCATGAGGTTGCAAAGATATGGATTATAAAGTTATAGTTTGATGCAATAAAACAACTATATTCCAAATTTTTTATTTGTTACAAGATATTTTCGCTGAAAATAAAGGTTTGATAGTGACACCAACTCTATGAATGTTGAAGGTTTGGCTCCAATTTTAACCAAATTTTAATTCTGTGTTATTTAAATATTTGACCATATTCCGGAGAACTTTAATTTAAAAATTCAGTTTAGACCCTTAACATTTAGTAAAATATACGGATTAGAACCACTTGTACTTTTAATCCCTATTAAAATAAATAAATACCTTTTTAGTCGTCGTCTGGGGGGAGCGTCCCACGTCCCCCCCCCCCTCTATAATGCTATAGATTTTATGTAAAGGGTTGAAATGCACGTTCATAGCCCGATTTTTCAAAGCCAGCTCATTAAATAAATAGACCGATAATTTAAATAATTAAGGTGTTTGGGAGGGTTGAAAAAAATGCCAAAAAAGGATTAAAAAATGTAAGAATTTTATTTTAAAAATATCAAATGTGACAAGTGTTTCTTCATCCACTTGTCTAGGGCTTTTCTAAAGTAAAGTTTTTAGATCTGTAGCTTTAGTCAAAACAAAGTTATGGGCTATTTTAAATTTATTTTTACACGGACCAGTTTTTTCCGCCCTCTACTGTACCTTATGAATAAAAAAAATAAAAATTCTTTAAACTTCTATTCATCAAAAGTACAAAGATTTCACAGTAATAGTGTCAAAAATGAGACCGCTAGTGCAAAACAACTAAAGGGGGGGGGGCGTCNACCTTGTTTATGAATGTTGTAAAATTTAACCTTATTTATAAATAATGTAAGGTTAAACCTTGTTCATAAATATTGTGAAATTGAACATTGTTTATGAATATTTGAAAATTGAACATTGTTTATGAATTTTTGAAAATTGAACCTTATTTATGAATATTGCAAAATTGAACATTGTTTATAAGTATTTGAAAATTGAACCTTGTTAACAAAAGCTTGAGTTTCTGCGAGAGATTCTTCAGTTTTCTCAACATAGTAGTCCGGACTATTTCTGTCCATGCAAACCTGAATAATAATCAAATCATCAAACTATTTTTAAGAAGGCAATGTTATAGATTCAAATTGGGAGATAGAGGGGGGGGGGACGTTACCCTTTTCGAAAAGGGATAAATAACACTTAGAAAAGTTAATGACCAAAGAAATTCGTATCTATCTTCAAACTTTACTTTTCTAATCCCTATCTCTAAACCTTTAATCTGTCAAACTTTCAAAATTTGATGTATGGAGAAAGAACAGTTTGAAATTTCAATTGTCTCAGACATGAGGTTGCAAATTTATAGGGATTTAAAATTTTTTATTTTAAGTCAAGTGCTCAAGGACCAGATTTAATAAATAGCGATAAGTAGTTGAACCATGAGACGTAGTTGAACCACTTCTGTTGTACGGCGGTTCAAGCTGATAGAAAAGTTTGAATCACGTCTACACGTATTACTGTTAAGATTTCGTGACCTCGGAGCTTCTCTAGTTTTATTTGATGCAAAATTAGGAGAAAATTAAACATATCCGGTTACATATCCTACATACAAGAATTATTAAACGTTCTTATTCTTCTTAACCCTATAAAGGCTGGCGCCCCCTCCCCAACCCTAGAAAAGGCATTAGAGAATAGGTACAGGGTTGAAATGCATGTTCGTAGTCCAATTTTTCATAGACAGAAATATAGACCGATAACTTTAATAGCTTGGGTGCTAGGGAGGGTGGAAATGAAAAAATAAATTTTTTTTTAAAAACAAATATCAAAGTGTGACACATTTTTCTACATGCGCTTTTCAAGGGCTTTTCTAAATTATAGTTTTTAGATCTGTGTCTTTAGTCACATAAAAGTGATGGGCTATTTTAGATTTTTCTTCACACACCGGACTTTTTTTCCACCCTGTCCTGTACCATACCCTATAAATAAAAAAAATATTTTTTTTCACAAAACATCCTTTAAATTACTATTTATTAAGAGTCACAAAATATCACGGTGATAGTGTCAAAATTGAGAGTGCTAGGGCAAACAAAACTAAAAAGGGGGGAGGGGTTCAACCCCCCCCCCCCCCGCCTGTTTAGGGTTAATAGCTCTTCGATAAAAGGGGTTATGATGAAAAACATGTAAGATTTCAATATTTCGTTATCTATTTTAGTTTCAAGTTTTATATTTAAAAATTCCAACCTTTCCAACAAATGCTCTTTGTCCAAGTTGTAGACACACCTTGGCTAAAATTTCGCTAGATTCTCTAAATACATTTTACATTTTAAACATGTGAAAAATCATGAAATTGGGAAATTTTCTTTTTCTTGTATCCAGTTTTTAAAAGCAAGTGTCAAACATTGATTAGATTAATTTGACAATGACTTATAAGCAACAGGATGATATTTAATTTTAAAATGATAATTGTAGGTAATGTACACTGTACAGTGTACTGATATATTAAGGCTAATATAGCGGAGTAAATCTGCTGATGATTGTACAGTGTACACTGTACAGTGTACTGATATATTACGGCTAATATAGCGGAGTAAATCTGCTGATGATTGTACAGTGTATACTGTACAGTGTACTGATATATTACGGCTAATATAGCGGAGTAAATCTGCTGATGATTGTACAGTGTACTGATAAATTACGGCTAATATGGGTATATTGTCTGGGGGAACTAATTAGCATTGAAAAGAAGGAAGAACCTAATACACTGGATGATAATCAATTTACGCCTCTTCTTATGTAATTAGAGATTATTAAATTAGCTTTAGTAAAGTAAAAGAAAAAGTTTGTATGGATTTTATTATACAATAAGATTGTTCATTTGATAGAAAATATCCGTACATATGGAATTCTACTACTAAAGGGTACTCATATATTGCTCAAGATTTGGGACAAGGTTATGAAACATGGCCGAGCGCCGCGGCGCAAGGTTATGAGCTAGGAGCTCAAACGCAGTGAAAAGATATATATTTTGTATACAATCCATTAAGGATTTTTTGTTTCACTTTTTAAGTGTATATAAATTATAGACGGGGGGGGGGGGGGTATGATCCTTGTCTGAAACCCCATCTTTAATTATATATTACAAAAAGGCTTGGTATAAGATATTAATGCATGTTGAAATTCTGAAAGAACTTTGATAAAATTTTGCTTTGAAAACTTTTAAAACATTTAATAACTCTGCTTTTACATTATTTATTTACTTCAAGCTTATCTAAGTTTTTCCTTTCCGTTCAACTATTGAAGTTTAATATTAAATTATCTTTGTCGTAAATTTACTTGTTCAGTAAATTTTTGCCTTTTATGTAATCTTTTTTTACAGAAAAACATAAATGTTTCGAGTGTTTCAAACATCAAAAATAACAACTCCATAAGAACAGAACGAATCATCTCATTTCTTTACAATTATTCATTTGTATTAACATAACTTTTCTTAGCCCTCGAAAAATAATGAAAAATAATTTTGATCTCATGTTCTAAAAAAATGTATTATTTATTTTAAATGGTGGAAAAATTATAAACATAGAGGAAATTGCCTTTTTTTATTCAACCATTCTTTCAGTTTGGCCAGTATTATTACATAGTCATGAGATAGAAGGTTAAGAAAGATATTCTAGAAAGAAAACTATCCACATATTTTTTATGTTAAAATTTCCTATGTATTGTAGCAAAGTATGCAGCTGTAGTAGTTCCGCTGTCAAGGGTAGCACGTACACATCTATTGTACACCTAAAGTAAAACCAATTTTTTTCACTTCCATAAATTTTATAGTACAGTGCAGTACAGTACAGTAAAAGTATAACATACATACATACGAGTACATGACATGTATGTGTATGCATTATGCTGTATGCATTATATTGTAACTTTCCAAAAATATTTCGATTTCCTTGGTTTGAGGTCTTGCCAAACCTACCACCATTACAGTCAGATCCGTATTGGGGAAAGTTTCTAGTTCTTTGGCATCCAGCGAACCTGAGAATATCCTGATGAATTAAATATTTACCTCAACTGAAAACTCAGGCCTGGAAAACTTTGCTTCTGTCGGAAAGGTATACTTCTCCAACCAGTCTAACAGGGGGAGCTCCAGAGCTAAACCTGGATATTTTACAGGTTTAAGTAGATATCCTTGGATAGTTTACAGGTTTAAGTAGATATCCTTGGATAGTTTACAGATTTGTAAAGAATATAAACCTAGTAATTATACAGGTTTGATAAGCAGATAAACCTGGATATTTTACGGGTTTTATAAGTACATAAACCTGGATATTTGACAGGTTGTATACGAAGCTAAACTTAGATATTTTATGGGTTTTATTAACAGATAAACTGGATATTTTACAGGTTTTAAAAGGAGACAGTCTTAGATATTTTACAGGGTACTTAAGCAGATAGTCCTAGATATTTTACATGTTTTATACGCAGAAAAGCCTTGATATTTTACAGGTTTCATAAGCATAGAAAGCTGGATATTTTACAGGTTTTATAAGCAGAGAAACCTTGATATTTTAAAGGTTTTATAAGCAGAGAAACCTGGATATTCAACAGGTTTTATACGAAGATAAACCTAGCTATTATACAGATTTTTTTCAAGCACAAACACCTGTATATTTAGTTTTTTTTAGAAAGTTAAAACTGGATATTCTTCAGCAGATTAACCAGATCGTTATACATATAGTAGACATAATAGCAGGATACATATTTTACTAGAAGATAAACCTAGAAATGAGAAAGGTTTGATAAGAAGATAAGAAGTATCTTTAAATTCTAAAATAGATATATTGCTTTAATCAATTTTCTACCTGCATTAGGGAACTGTGAAGCATGGATGTGAGTATCTATTAGACCAGGCATTAGAAACTGGGAGGAGCTCAGTACAGTTACATCATTCCTGGCTACATTGTACTTTTCCAGTACATATTCAAGTTCAGAAACCTATACACAATCTTTTGTACTTTTCCAGTACATATTCAAGTTCAGAAACCTATACACAATCTTCTTGTACTTTTCCAGTACACTTAATTTCATGTTCAGAAACATTTACAAAATCTGTTGTACTTTTCTAGTACACTTTCAAGTTCAGAAACCTATGCACAATATTCTTGTACTTTTCAAGTACACTTTCAAGTTCAGAAACATCTACAAAATCTGTTGTACTTTTCTAGTACACTTTCAAGTTCAGAAACCTACTTAGATTGGTTGTACTTTTCAAGTACACTTATACAACCTATACAACCTATACAAAATCATCTTGCTTTTTTAAAGTACACTTTCAAGTGTTTTAATCCATAAAAAACACCATGTTATTGTGCTTTTTCAGTACACTCATTAGTTTATAAATCTTTACAAAACTATATTGTACTGTGTACAGTGAGTACCAGAAAACTCTGGAATAGGATTAAGAATATTAGACTTTAAATAGTCCATTGAGACAGAGCAATTGTGCAGTGTAAACAGACCAATTTAACTTTTACAACTGATTTGATAAGTAACTAGTAAACTATTTGCTTTGCATCAACATCATATAACCATTTAAGTTATTGCTATGGCCTCTTCCTATTCCACAGTTGTCTGGTTCTTTACTTTACCAGTACGATCTTTAATTAACCTTTACAAAATGTACAAAATATACTTTTACTAGTACGCTCTCTTGTTCATTTCATAATCACAAATCTATAAACCCTTTTTGCATTATTGCATAAATACTATAAATAATCATTATTGTCGTTAATATTTTGATTTATTATTGTTAATCTAATTATTTTTTAAAAAGATCATTCTCTAAAACTCAAACTTAAAAAAATTTTAAGATTGCTTAAAAAATATCTAGATAATAGATACTAACCTTTGCTCTGAAAACAATTCTATTTTGTTGAATAACTAGAACCCCCTGTTCAATGTTTAAACTCCAATCCTTCCTACTTTCAACTAGATAACCAACATACACTTGAGATACCTCAGTCATTGTCATTCTTTCTATGAAAGATCAAGATACTTAAAGAGTTTCAACGCCGGTTCAAACCGCTCTTTCTCTCACTACAGGAATTGAGTATTTGCAACGAAAAAACTCTGATTTTCTGATCTTTACAATCCATTATCGTATCTAAGCTTTAAATATCAAAAGTAGAGTGATTAGAAAATTTGAATGTGAAGCAATGACTCAATTCATTTAGCTATTAAATGTTTCTGAAACGGTAATATTTCTTAACTTATGTGTTTAATAATAAATGACGTAAAATTTCGCGGATTTTACTGTTTTTTTTTCATGGTGGATTAATTTCGATTTTTTTGTTCCAATTTTTTAAATTTTGATTTCAAGCAAGGAAATAATCCTGCAATCAGGACCACATCTCCCACATCTAACCATCTAATCCTGCAATCAGGACCACATCTCCCACATCTAACCATCTAATCCTGCAATCAGGACCACATCTCCCACATCTAACCATCTAATCCTCAAACCACGACATATATTAACATTTATTTAAATTGCATGATTTAATATTTTATCGAGCTCTTTAAAGTATGTTTAAAATATGAATGTTCTACTATGGTTGACATTTCTCATTATCGTATAGATTTCCTGGATTATTTATCATTTATAAGAAAAATTGAGATTAGGAGTTACTCCACACAAACTTTAATTTACTCATTATATATCATAGAAACCTGATATTGTAAACCTTTCAAATCTTAAGCTTTGTCTAACCTATATTCAATTCCAATTAATCATATCCAGGGTGTCCCAATAAACATGGGCATTAAGGGACGACTTTAATATCTTTAATATCGATCCATGTGGCATTTTTTCTTGAACAACACAATTATTGGTGTATTCCAGTTTAAGCATCTTATATCGAAAATCGTAGTCTTGAGATATTCAAAATGTGATCTACTATTTTTGTAACTTCAAAATTGACGGAGATATTTCAAAATGTGTACTTTCAATTTATTACAAATCAAAATTGTCAATATCTAATGTCTACGGACGGACACCCCCCTCCCCATCCCCCAAGATTGAATATATGAATTTTCCAACTAAATGTGGTTTTAAACAAAGATAGCATTGCTGGATTCACAACGGTACCCTTGAAACCTTAATCTGATCAATAATGTGGAAGATATTGTCATTTTTCTAGGTTTAAAATTAAGATTTAATTTAAAACTTAAAATTAGAAATTAAAAAAGTATTTAACTATGAAATAGAAATGCGCAAGTCACTTTTGTATAGAAACCAAGGTTAAAAATAATCAGTATTTAAGATTATAAATATTGCATTCTAATGCAGAATTGATCAGACAAACCTCATAAAGATGGAGGGTCACTAGAAATTATGCTTAAAGTCCCTTTCAGTAACAATATCACTTTTTAACCTTGAAGTTCTAGTATAGTTTGTGTATAATAAAATCATCGCAGTATTTGAAAATAAAACCAGATTCTTTAATAAACAGGTTTCAAAACCACTCAGCTCACTTCTCCTCCTCTGCGATATCTTTCAGAGAACTGATGTTTTAACGAGATCATCTTTTCACCTGTACACCAAGGTGTCCCAATTTATTCAAATTTTATACCAGGGTGTCCCAATATATTTTAATATTAGACCAGGGTGTCCCAATATATTTAAATATTAGACCAGGGTGTCCTAATATATTTAAATATTAGACCAGGGTGTCCCAATATATTTTAATATTAGACCAGGGTGTCCCAATATATTCAAATATTAGACCACGGTGTCCCAATATATTTTAAAATTAGACCAGGGTGTCCCAAAATATTCCAATATTAGAATGAATAAGAATCGAAAAAATTGAAAAATCGACCATTCTTAGCGATTTCTTATTTTTTTAAATGCTTGCGCTGGCCAATTTAAAGTCTTAAAAAAAACTTTTGTTTGTTAGTATAAATAAAAACATTTCGCTACGCGTTGGTAATTTTAATAAAATCATATTGTCCCAGGGTTATATTCCAATACTAGAGAAAGAAACTAGTTTTTATGAAATATTAAATTCTAAAAAATGTTGAGAAAAGAAACTGATAACCTGTCTAAAAGTTTAATTTTCTAATCCCTTTATTTTGCAAACTGATATAAAGAATCTAACATTTCAAACTTTAATCATACAGGTGAATGTGATATAAAATAACAAAATTACTATACGCATAAAACATAAATGAAGCCTACGCAAATGTAAGAAAATTTTATTTTATAGCCACATATAAAGATTAAAAAGATCGAAATAAAAAAAAATCAGTAAGTCTTTTTTTCTAGTCTTTAATTGAAACTATACAAAAGTAATTAACCTTAAACTGGCAGGGGGGGGGGGCTTTTGGCACCCCCCCTGTAGATTTTTTTTTGTCCTAGCACTCTCATTTTTGACACTATCACCGTGAAATTTTGTCACTTTTAATGCTTAGTAATTTAAAGGATTTTTTGTGAAAAAATATTTTAAAAAAAATTTAAATAGGATAGGGTACAGGGCGAAAAAAAGTCCGGCCTGTGAAAAAATAGCCCATTACTTTTTTGTGACTAAAGCTACAGATCTAAAAACTATATTTTTGAGAATCCCTTGAAAAATACATGTAGAAACATGTGTCACACTTTGATATTTGTTTAAAACAAAAAAAAAATTTTTTCTTTTTTTTGACCCTTTTTTATTCAGTTTAAACAAAACAATTCTAAATGTTATTTTAAAGAATAAAAAACTGTCCTAGTTTAAACTAGTTAAATTTTATTTTAGTTTTGAATTTGCATAGAAATGCATATTGCAAAATATAGCATAGAGGAGAAAAATATAGACATCTACCCATTGATAATATTCAAATATTTATCAGCATATATGCATACATATTAAGGCCCAAAAATACGGAATAAAAAGACGACTGTAAGACTCAAGTTATGTTTTAAATAGTTTTAAACACATTATTAAATTAAAGAATTATTAAAAGTGCAAGTAAACAGACACTTTTTCCATGATTAAGTACAGTGGTCGGTGATTATATTAATACAATGAAGACGACTTTTATTGATAATGTTTTGATCCCTTTTTTAAAGAAAAAGAAGCTGTAAATTGCGAACTAATCTTTGTTGAAATGTTTAGAAATCAATATCAAAATAAAGTAAAATTCGTATTGATATATACGACGACGAATATAGAAAATCTCAAGCTACTATTTTATTTACAACATCACATACAATCACAAAGATTGCTTAAATGTCGTCTTCATGACCACAGTTTAATGAGTCCCACTGTATAAAAATATTGAACATTTAGAATTAGTAATACCCTACTACATCGAAAAGTATCTATCCAGGTTCAAACCGTCTGCTATCAAAGTCAACCAGAACAAAACCCACCTGGCTCTAAATATCACACAAGGACACAAGCGTAGCTATCCAACAAGCTATTATCAAACAGGACACAATACACCTGGCTCTAAATATCACACAGGGACACAAGCATAGCTATCAAACAAGCTATTATCAAACAGGGCGCAACCCACCTGGCTCTAAATACCACACAAGGACACAAGCGTTGCTATCCAACACGCTATTATCAAACAGGGCGCAACCCATCTGGCTCTAAATACCACACAAGGATACAAGCGTAGCTATCCAACAAGCTATTATCAACCAGGACACAACCCACCTGGCTCTAAATACCACACAAGGACACAAGCGTAGCTATCCAACAAGCTATTATCAACCAGGACACAACCCACCTGGCTCTAAATACCACACAAGGACACAAGCTAGCTATCCAACAAGCTATTATCAACCAGGACACAACCCACCTGGCTCTAAATACCACACAAGGACACAAGACGCATAGCTATCCAAAAAGGGGTTAATCGCAATACAGGATTCGCATAATTACTACATGAACAATGTACGACGTAATTTTACAATGGGCCTCAATATTTGCTACATAACTTCTGAACTAAAAGAGAAAACTGCTGTACTATAGAGCTAACTACTGAACTATAGAGCGAACTACTGAACTATAGAAATAACTACTGAAGTATAGAGCTGACTACTGAACTATAGAAATAACTACTGACAGTATAGAGCAAACTACTGTACTATAGAGATAATTACTGAGCTAAAGAACAAGTACTAAACTATAGAGCTAACTACTAAACTATAGAGCTAACTACTGAACAATAGAGCTAACTACTAACTATAGAGATAACTACTGAACTATCAAGCTATCAGCTATATAGATAATTACTGAACTATAGAGCATACTACTGAACTATAGAGCTAACTACTGAACTTTAGAGCTAACTGCTGAACTCTAGAGTAAGCTGAGGAACTATTTAGCTATAATTATCTTAGACCTTCATCCTCCTACTAAAGTTTGCTACTGGAGATCTGCAGGAAAAGGTTTAACTTTTCTAACAGCTCAGGGTCTTATGTCTGTATTAATGGATTAAATCCTACTATACAGGATATTTTACACGTATAAAGTTTCAAATTTATTTTAAAACAGAATTTAGAATTCAGCTCCTGTACTTTATTTAATCAGATTATCCTTTTTATATCCTACTCAGGTGTTTTCTGCTTTCCCTTTATAATTCTTGTTTTAATCTTTACTTTTTATTCAGACAAAGAAACACATTTATTCTATTAAACAACGAGGTTTAAAAGATTTAAAAGATTCAAAATCTGTTATTACCGCGCTTAGCCGATTATGGGGTTTGAGGGGTAAACCATAAACAACGAATGCCTGAATGGTGCCAGGATTCAGGAATCCACAATTTAAAAGTGTATCCAGTTATTATAGAGTTCACTTGCTGATGGTAGGAGATATCACATACGGAAGTTTAACCCTTAGTTACGTTTGCCAGGATACGTTAGCCTGGATACGTTTGCCAGGATACGTTTGCCAGGATACGTTTGCCAGGATACGTTAGCCAGGATATGTTTGCCAGGATACGTTTGCCAGGATATGTTAGCCAGGATATGTTAGCCAGGATACGTTTGCCAGGATACG